AGCAAGGCGGGGGGGAAGGCAGAGCTGTAGAGCCAGCATGTGTGGAGGGTTGGCTTAAAAGCCCGCACATAATGGCTCTCGCCTGCCCCCTCACCCTCCTCACTGCTGCCTCTCCATCCGAGGCAGCAGCGTGGTGGGGGCAGGTGAATCTGGTGCTTGTGGGGAGCCAGCTTAAAGCCAGCTCCCCATGGGCACCGACTCCTGCTTCCTCCCCACACCCTTGCTGCCTCTGATACAGAGGCAGCAAGGGGGGGGAGGAATGTGAGTGGATGACAGGATTAACCAATAAGCCAGGCTTATTGGTTATTCGTGTAGTCGTCTACTGGGAGATGAAAGGTGCTTAGACTTCCCCCAGACCTGTGATTGGTGGCAGCCGTTAGCAGCTTCCAGCAGAGCAAAACATTAAAGCTTGTGAGGAGCACAAATATTATGGTGATGGGAAATACGTAAGTCTGATAGAGCCATGTGGCTGGATGTGGGGGGATAGATGCTACTGATAGACACACACCCCGCCTCCGCAGAGAAGGTATCCTTCCCGCTCCTCTGATCTCAGTCAGGTCTCCCTGAGCTCATGCATTTTCCTGCAGGAAGAGGGGGCTCAGGCCCACAGAGGGATTTTTTTTACAGTCTCACTGAAAACCGCAACCCAGGAGAGAGCTTGTTTGGTTTCCGTGCTGCCTGTCTCCAGTCACAGCCGGTCTTCAGATGCTGCTTCGGTGGTGTGAGCCAGGCCTGCTGACAGTGGGGGAGGGGACAAGGGGAGCCACTGCCCTGGGGCCTGTTGATTCAAAAAGTCCCAGGGCTTCAGGGCATTGCTAAGGACTAGTTGGGGTGGGGGCAGGGCATGGTCTGGGCATCCCACCGTAGGCCCCTCCAGCAGACCTAGAGTTCTGGGCCCCTCCCACCGTAGGCCCCTCCCCTTCTAGAGAGTACGGAGCTGGGGCGTCACCTCCTTGCCCCAGAATCCAGCAATATCAGGGCCCCTCCCACTCTAGGCCCCTCCCCTTCTAGAGAGCACGGAGCCGGGGCATCACCTCCTTGCCCCAGAATCCAGCAATTCTGTTGGCGCCTCTGGTGTGAGCACTTTGTTCCTGTGCTGAATGGCCACGTGGACAATAGGCAAAGAGGGTGGCAGCATTGCTGGAAAGATCCTGCCCCGGTTATTGCCCCCCGAGGACATGAATGGGCAATGTCAGAGCAGTCTAGGAAGTAGGCCCCCCAATCTTACTTCTCGGACCCTGTTGAATTTCCAAACACTCCCCTATGGTTTTGGTTCCAGTGCCGAAGGAGTCTTTCCCCAGGTCTGGTTCAGAGGATGGTGGAAGAACAGATGACCAGATGGTGGGAGCCTTGTGAGGTGATCTCAAGGATTCCACCATTTGGGGGCAAAACTGTACAACACCCGCCTATGACCCAAGAGGTGTGGGCTTGGAGAGTCCATCAATCTTGCACCCAAGGCCTACCCCGGTTCCTCCATCCGCCTGAAATTATTCCAGATGGGAAACCTCCCTGCCCCGACCTTTGGGTCCATTTCTGCTCCTGACCAGGTAACTGAGTCTAAAGTGAAAAAAAAAACCAAAAACAAACCAGGCCCACAAAATGTAAGACCTCTTCATTCCCTTGGCACTCTGCAATTTTGCTTCAGATGGGGGTGGTATGCATGTTCTCTGCTCTCCAAGCCACACGGGCTTGTGGTCCTGACGTAGGCTTTGGGAAATAGCAAAACTCAAAGCCAAACTCCGAGCTGAGTGTTGGTTGTCGTCAGGAAGCCCTTCAGAAAGTGTCTGGTATGTGACAAGTTTCCATTTTGCAACACAGCTTCTTCCAGATAAAAGTGGACATTCCTCCAGAGAGCAGGATCTACCCAATAGACTCTGAGGAAGCGGAGGAGGACTGCCCCCCGGCTTGTAAGGACTCCGTGAAGGAAGTTATCTGCCCTTGGGAGAACCTTCCAGAACAAGGGAAAGCTGGATAACAAGCAACTCTCCGTGCAGACAGGATGTGACCTACTTATAAATGGATCTTTTCTTTCCAGGCCCTGACTCTGCAAGGTTCACCACGTACAGTTCAATATATGAACCTGCTGCTAAAAAAGTACATTAGAGTCATGCTTCAGTGTCAAGGAGACTCAAACCACGCTGGCTATGAGTAATGGACCCTGACACACACATCTGTGTGTGTCTCCTGACCTATTTTCCTTCGTATCTTTAGAAAGTCAGACTCATCTATTACTGACTTTTTGATAAATGAACCTTATTTGCTGCCTTATAGTTGATAAAAATGTGTCCTAGGGGATATTCTCTCCCATGTAAGTAGATTCTTGATCCTTGCAAAGTGCTGTACAGGTGAAATGTAGCTATCTTGAAGGTGTCTCTAAGGGTGTGTCTACACAGCACCCTAAACTCAAAATAAGATACGCAATTTGCACTCTGCAAATTGCATATCTTATTTAGATTCTATTTTGGAATTTGAAATTTGGTGCGTCTACACAGCACCAAATTTCACAAAAATACGCTATTCCGAGCCATCCCATAACCCTCGTGCAATGAGGCTTACAGGGATGGCACAAAAATGCGCTATTCTGAGCCATCCCATAACCCTCGTGCAACAAGGCTTACAGGGATGGCGAAATAGCGTGCCTGTTATTTCGAATAATATTTTGAAATGATGGGTGTCTTTTTTAGACGCAGGGTAGCTATTTTGGGATACCTCCAGTATCCCGAAATAGCTGCACAGTGTAGATGTACCCCAAGACTGGAATTTGGAGTTTAAGCAGTTCCAAAGTTTGGGTCCCTTTGTAGTCTAGGTTTGGGGTTAGGATGATCTCTAATAATTAAGAATAACTTATAATGTAAACAATTTAACTTGGAGGCATCTAATGGTGTGGGGAGGAGGGGGCTAAACTCAGACATCTTCATGGGGTAATAGTAAGGGAGATGGATGGGCAAGGAGCGGGCTAAGCTCAGACATCTTCATGGGGTAATAGTAAGGGAGATGGATGGGCATAACCCACTCGCCAGCTACAAAAGTGAACCCCACAGAAAACAAAGACAAAGGACCGCTTAGCTCCCCCTTACTTCCACTAGGCCTTCAGTGCCAAGATGGGTCTTGGCACCCTGAGTCCGACCACCCTTCTGAATGTTTGGGAAGATTGAGATTGGTTTGAGACCCAAACAAAGTAGATTGGGCCCATCGGAACATGAAATTGGCATGTTGTCCCACACCTTAACTGCATCTCTGCCAAGAACGTTAGAATGTCACCTGCCTCGTCCGATGTCCGTACATCAAGAGGAGGCTCCTCTTTGCAATTTCCTCTGACAATGACAGTCCCTGTGCATGACTATCTTTTAATGTTGTTTTGTAACGAGGCCGTATGGCCTGGGCCTGTATGTCTTGGTGTTACTTTGTATTTTCTAATGTGGAGACATGCCCCAGTTGAGTTGAAATGGTTCAATGTGCTGATTCCTACCGAAGCATTGAAAGCGCTGCCTTCTCCTGGCCTATGGGAACATGGTCCTGATTTAATGGCAGGAAGTAAAGCTGCTATGTAAGGCATTCGGGCTGAGCCCAGTGCAACTCACTATAATGGCTGCTTCAGGTGCAGATCTGCTTTACTCCTCACAACTCCATGGAATACTGGAGTTGACAAGGGCACCATCAGTGCTCAATTTAGCAGGTCTTTACTAGACCCACTAAATTGAACCCCGCAAGAATGATCTCCGGAATGTCAATCTCCAGAAAGGAGAACCGTTCCTTCCTTTCTTTACAGCTGGATGGGAAGGGCTCTGACAGCTTCTCAGGTAACAAGATACCTTAGGCTCTCCAGAGGGGATAAATCCCTCCAAAAAGACGTTTCTCCAGCATTGTAGCACAATTCTCACCATCAGGGCGCAGTTTCTTTTGGTTTCTGCTCTTCTGAGGTCTGAACAATCTCAGCCAGCCCCCCTGGCTGCATAGGGAACTCCCCCGTTTCCTAAGAGAACCCAGGTGGTGGTGGTGGTGGGGGGTGGGGGACTTCGAGGGATTATTGAGGAAAAAAAGGGTTGGGGGAAAGTTATTGAGAAAAAAAAGTCACCTGTCCCTTTAATGGCGGCGGGGACTTTGGGTTGGTGCATCCAGCTCCTGAGATGATGTGACCCTGTCCGTGAAGCTCACTGTTGAGTTTAAACTGAAATTTGTTGGGGGGGGGATCTGGGTGGTGTGTGTGTGTGTGCGTGCGTGAGAGAGAGAGAGAGAGAGCGAGAAAGAAAGATGAGTGTGGTGGGTGAGAGAGAGAGATGAGGGAGAGTGGAGAGGACCTATGTAATATTGGCTTCAGCCTGAAAACTTATCCTCTAAGCCCCAATCTGTACGGTCCTCTTTAGCACAGAACCACGGAGGCCACACTTGGCTAGTTAGATGCAGAGGGTTCTTGAAAGGGCTAGTGTTCCACCCCCTCGCACACACAGAGCTAATCTGATCTCTTGAGCTAAGTTTACACCCTGTCAAAGTGGCCTGTTTGCTGTTGCACTTTGAGTTGCACTCCCCTGCCCTGCCCTGACCCTCCTTCCGGCTGGGTTGTGCCACCTGGTCCTTATTTCACTGGGCCAGTTCCAGTTCCAATGGTTGATTGAGGTATGGACGAGAGCAGGAGCAGGGGGGTTCATGTCCTGGTGCAGTGATGGATTCTGACAGACAGCAGCAGATGGCAAAGATGGGGGATGCACTTCTGGCCAAAGAGCTAAGGGAGGAACGTCCCAGTGCAGCCAGGAAGGGCATGGTAGAACAAGACCCTTTCCTTCAACTTCAGGATTGAGCATGTTTGTTGCCATCCCAGGCTCAACGGGAGGGAATTAAAATGATACCAGGTCTCCTGTCTGACAGGACAGACCAAAAAGCTATTACCCTGGCCTGTTTGATACTCACTGGGCCATGTTCTGAAAACTGATGACAACTTCCCAACCTATACTGGGGATGAAGTCACCTAGGTGGTTGATCAGACACAACTGGAGAGGTTGCTGAACTGGCCCTAACTTGTTAGAGTTGTAGCTGCTTGGGCAGAGAAACACCCTTGTCCAGCTCAGGTCTTGAAGACCAGAAGGGAAGTCAGCAGGAGTCCAAAGGTGCGATGTCCGTCCCTCCCTTTCCTAGCATTAGCTGCAAAATAGCTTTTCTAGGTTTTCTAGTCAGGTCTACACTTACCCCAAGATCAATGCTCCAGAGATCGATCTTCTGGGGTTTGATTTAGAGGGTCTAGTAAGGACCTGCTAAATCAACCGCTGATGGCATCTCTATTGACCTGGTACTCCACAGAGTCACAAGGACTAAGGGAAGTTGATGAATATGTTGTCTCCAGCTGCGTTATTCTTGTAGCTGGAGTTGCATATCTTAGGTCAACTTTCTCGTGTAGTTTAGATCTGGTCTGAGAAGAAAACCTTTCAAACTGGAACACAGGAATTATTATCCAGGAACTGACCAATAGTCTATCTACTCTGGAGTCCTGGTCTTAGGCTCTGACCCCCACATCAACAAAGCACTAAATCATATGCTTAAATCCTATTGATTTCAGTAGGAATTAAACACTTGCTTAAAGTTAAGTGCTTCCCTGAACTGGGGCCTAGGACAATAACGCTGTACCAAATTTCTAACGGACACTGATTGTTCATGAGTTTATGCCTTGAAGCATGATGACTGATGGCTCCCTCACCATTTTATGCTAGCTCGTGTCACTGCAGATGTTTATGTTTAGATACATCTTGTCTTTTTTTAAAGCGCTTCCTTGGATCTTTTCCTCCCCAACATCCTACAGCAGTGAGTTCCACAGGTGGGTGATACATTGCATATAAATGTATTTCTTTCTGTCTGCTTTACACCTGATGCCTTTTAATCAACTACGATCATTTATGGTGACTCCTATCGTGATACTAAGTTCTTCTGGCAACTCCTACTCCCCGTTCTCCTTTTCTTTCACCCTTTGGGGGGTGGGGAGCCGGGTATCCCTGCTGAAGTCTGGGAGGTTTTTACCTACTTTAACCATCTCCCACATTCACGGTTGTCACCCCTTTGACTGAGGAATACTGGAAAGATGTGGGGGGTTTGTTCAGAGCCAGTCATAACTCCCCGTATGCGCCTCTGTGGGCTTTCTAGCTTTTCTTGGGCATAGACCTTTTCACCTAGGGAAGAGGGGACTCATGCAGCAGTGTCTGGTCAGTGGCTAGACACACATCTTTGTTCAGAAGCTGTTCTGCACCACTCTGCCTATAGACTTATGCCCAAGTGAAAGTTAGCACAATTGTTGTTGCACCTAACAGCTGAAGCTAACAGAAACATGGCCAACACCTGGCATCTCCATTACCCCGTGCAAAACATTAATCATTTACCCTCAGAGAGCAGAAACATTGTGCAAAGCTCATCGACAAGGAAGAACTGCTGTTTCATAGCCCTGTGTTTTCCAGTGCTGACCCCACCTCTCACTCCCTTCTCCCAGAGGCTGAGCGTATTGACAGCCCTTTCTGTTCAAAGCATCAAGCCACTGGCAATATGATCCAACATGTATTTGATCCTGGGAAAAAAAAATCTCCAGTGTAACATAACTCCTGCCAGAGCTTGCAGTCATTTTGCAGGCAAAAGTCCCATTGGGAGTTTTGACTGGGACTTAATTCCCACACGGAACAGAGAAAACTGGCCCCTCCCAATTAAGTTTCCCCCTGAAACAAAAGTATTCCAAGAACCACAGACTTAAAAAGAGAGATGAACACATGGTCTCTCCCTGATTCGCTTCTATGTACTGGACTGGTCTGTTTCTGCCACTCTGAGTTATGGCCAATCGTCATCTCTGATGTCAGTGTGACAAATGGGATGTAATTTGCTAGAATTAATTAGCAGTTTGTAGAGCAGACCTTTGAGATTCGTGGAATCGCTATTCGGGTTTCTGCATGCTTGTGGGTCTCCCTCATCGTGGCATGAGGCGGTGGTGGTAGAAGGGAGGCTGGGAGCCACGGAGAACTCACCACAGTGGCCGGGACCCACGATGAGTTCAGAAGCCACAGGGAACTCCTCACGGGGGAATTCACTGCATGAGGTAGGATCCACGGCCACCAGGATTAGTGGATTTTACCATTCATAGTGGTGCCCAGGAAAACATCCACGGCAGATGGTGGGGGTTTCCTGTCTGTTATAAGTTACTCTGCTGTACCTGCTGTGCTCAGAGGTAACAAAGAACCCAATACTCACACGTGTAGGGCCGCTTTGTGGTGTTGTGGAATTGGGGAAGATCCCTTTAAGTAGTGTGGCATCCCTCTAGTGAGCCACTGTGACCGGGTGTATCAACCCCACACTGGGCCTGAAGGGGTTAAGCCTGGATTCCTGTCTGAGAAGGCCCCGCCCCCACAGTGCTACTGGGCATGCTC